GTAGCACATTTAACGGAATCGCTCGTTCAATTCTGTTGTTACGCTGCCAATGTGGATCAACTGTTATTTTCTCTAATCACATGAATGCATCTCATTGTGACAGATATAGCTAAAATCGTGTTTCAAGATCATACATTGTTAGGTAAGCCGATATGATAATGCATTCAAAAGCAAAGAATATGTTTATAGTATAATTGCCCGCTAAACGATATCAATTAAGCGTGTTTGTTTGCGGTAGTTTTTAGACCACACGATGGCAGCACAGAAAATAACATCATGCTTGTCCAGATATTCATTCGTGAAGATGAGGAGATCTGATTCTGAACTAAAGCAGAAAGTGGGTGTTTATGCTCGAAGTGAATCCAGTTGACAGCAAATCATTTTCATTAATAATTGAATTACAGCATGACATGACAAGTGAAATAATCGATACTGCATAAAATAATTTCAGAAAAGCTTTCAGAGGAAGAGGCAGGATTGAAGAATGAAACATCTGATGAAATCAATTCCCTGTATTGTTTGGAATAGAAATAACATTAATAAAAGACCTTCCAAAAATAGGCTATACAGAATATATGATGACAGTTTTTTGTAAATAAGTGTGTTAAATAAAAAAAAAAGAATATATGATGATACAGATATATATTCGATGTGGTACAAAAATCAAATACAACAAAGCTTAAACAATCAATCGTACGTTATAATTAAATTAGTGACTTTATAATAGTACCAAAAACAAAGCTCTAGCCAAAAATGCCAGTCAAAAATAGCCAAAGCGAGAACCGTTCGTTTATTTTTTTTTTTCTTTTCGGTTGTTGTTTTTTTTTTTTTTTAACCGTTCGCTGATCTATTGTAGCAAGTTCCTCAATATACGTCATAATTAGTACGTCATATACTAGGCTACATTAGTATAGCCTACGTCATAATTGGAACTTTTGCAGCAAAATTCAAACGGTGAAACTATGACAGAGAAAAGCATTGAAATACGAAAAGGCAAAATGTAACATTTGGCCAGCGGATATTGTAAAAAAAAAAAAAAAAAAAAAAAAGTAAAATTAGGCTACAACAGAAACACGTGACGACTTGCCCAATACAAATGTGACAACTTTCCCCAACCTGACATTCATGAAAAATGACTGAAAAATCCCATAGCCTACAGCAGTCAAACAAACAAAACCATAGAGAAAACAAGGATTTGTGAAACTGGATTTAAAACCTGTTGTATTTTGGTATGTTGTTGGTATGTATAGCCTTGTTGTTATGGCCTGTGGTATTCCCCTAAAATCTATCAAAACAGAATAGGCTAGTGGTGTTAAAGACTACCCAGAAAGAAAATAAATGCAAGGATTTAGCTATATTTTAGTTATCACTAGCTATATTAGCCTAGCTACTAATAGTATGCCTATTTAACATTAGCCTATTGTATGCAATAACGATAATAGGCCAAATTAATGTAATATAGGCTAGATATTATATAATAAAATTAAATACGTAAAGGCTACTTAAGCAACATTTTCATTTTAGGCATAGCCTCAAGAATGAAGCTCTATAAAACACCTGCCTGTTTAGAAACTATAAATAATCACCTTTTACATTTAACTATGAATGTAGGCTACATGCAAAAAATATTAGCTACTAAACAAAACATTGAGTGCAGGGACAGAAAAAGTGAGATGAATGTTTATTTTATTTGCTTTACACTCTTCATATTGATTGTTGGTTTAATAAAAATGAATAAATCTTATCTCGTTTATTTTAGTTTCGACGTACATAGCTTATGATTTGTTTGTAGTCTATTTGTCCAGTTTAAACGACTCTCTGACAGAAATTCAAATTGCTGTACGACCTCATTATAACCAGTAGATGGAGCGATACATTTCCCTCCCCGTTTTTCCCGCAATAATGACTGCTGATAATATTGATTACCGTGAACTCAATAGAAGAAACAGCATTGGGTTTTTATTACACGTCATATAAAAAAAAGTACAAATCACAAACATCCGTGTTAAATATTTGGGTGAACACAAGCCTATATTAGATAGGCTAAATAGATTAGCCTATATCGATCTAGAATACTACTCTAGTCAATCTATCAATAAAAACAAATGGTTTTGGTTACGAAGCAAGCGTAAAGTTTGATGTAGAATCTGCGCATGTGTACTAGCGTCAGTCGCGCGGTGTCTATGGAGGATGCGGAGAGCTGATGCTGAACGGGAGATCTCCACCGTCACCCATCACCCTGACATCATCAACACACACACACACACTGCGGAATAAACAGCCACACACACCCGTGTTCCTGACGCCCCGGCCCCGGTAATGGCGGATGAAAGGTAAGAGTGCGCATGTCGCCACATGATGAAACTGCATGCCTGTAAAATCAATAGGTAACTGATCATGATGTCCTTCTATTCAAAACACAAACATTCCCACATTTTATGTCTCATCATCTGAATCTTGGATTTACGGTAGAGTTTGTTTGGGTGTTATATAATCCCACGGAAGGCCGTATCATGGACAATTTCAAGAGAAGAAAAATAATAATAATCAAAACCAAGACATTGTATCACTCGTTGAATCATAAGTCATCAACTTCACATTTATAGATTTATATTTTATTTTGAACTGCCCACTTAACAGTTTCATACTTTACACATTTTGCTCAATTATATCCTCCTGAGAGCCAGAAAATATTTGACAAAAATCTATATGTTGCTAAACTGTAAACAAAAATCCATTTTCATTCACCAATACAGGATTTTTAGGTTTCAGGATTTTTTATATAGACCAAACTTTGTGTAAAGATGATTCTCAACTATATTATGAAAGATATGAAGGAATGAATTGATATAGGGCCTACCATTTTACTTTATGCAAAATGTGGCTATAAAATAAATTTGTAGTGCTTTTCATTCAATCTAATTTGCAAATTAATATACTGGGGCAACGTGTAAAGAAAAAGAAGTGTAATAATGAGAGTAATAATTGGCAACATTTTCATAATAATATCTATTGAATATTAATATATAATTTATTTCCCTATTTACTTGTTGTGTCTCCCAAAATGCCTGATAAACATGCTTTCCCACCACAATGTATAAAAACGCCCTGTTTGATAACAGAAAGTCATATTTTGATTAAACCATAACATTTTATTGAGATGTTGATTTATGGCAAACAATTTGAAAAGTAGTCAGATTTAAATGATAATCACAAAAATATTATCATATTTCCTTAGTGCTACATTTGATCACTAAATGAATGCCAGTCATTTTAAAGACCAAGCAGTTGTTATCATGGTGAAACCTGTGACATGTGTCAGAGAAATTCTCTGAAATATAATGTGAGAAAACAGAAGTCTGTTTTGGTCTCAAGAGGATATAGACCTACTTCTGATTTTGAAAACATCTGTATTATAAGCCAGCATCACCTGTATGCTGAACCTCATCCATCTGGTTTCTAAACTGAGAACGTCTCCCACACTGACGTCATTACGCCGATTGGCCGCCAGGTGGCGCTGCTGCAGCTACATTCTTCCTACAGCAACCCTGAAGCAAATTAAAGTTAAATCTTGATGTGTGTTTTTATTTGGCCTCATAAGAAAACACACGAGCTAGTACCCCACACACTTAAAAGATAAGTGCAGTGATCTCCTGGTTTATAGTTTCCTGAATTTTGCCTTGAATTTAAAGTCCTGATAAAAGCAACATTTGGAAATGTTTTTTGGCTTTTAGCTTGAATGTTATCTATAAGATTTTTGATATAAGATTTTATAAGTTTGCGCCAAACCAATGACAAAATTCGCATTTAGAAGATTTAAGAATTTAAAACTTCACTTCTGCTTATTTGGATCAATGATTTTAATGACATCACTTTGCACTAATGACATCACTTTTGTCCAGTCAAATGTTCTCTAGAATCTGAATTGTCCCGCCCCCTACAATATAAATATAGTAGGTGAGGCAACAGCTGAAATCAGTCACTTGTTCAATGTTCACACACTCTTAGAAGAAATGGTTCTATTTAGAACCAGAAATGGTTCCATCCCCTGTTTGGAACTCCAAAATGGTTCCATATAGAACCATTTTTTGGTAAAAGGTTCTATTGGCCAAGTATGGAACCCCAGGATTCTATATAGAACCCAGAGGAACCATTCTTTAAAGAGTGTATAGAACCTTTTAGTGGTTCCAAATATGTAGCTCTTATAGAACCTTTTCTTAGTTTATTTTCTACATGGTGAATGGCACATAGTGCACTAGAAATAGGGATATGAACAATTCAAACAGTGCAAATATGCTTTAAATCAAGGCTAATGAAGGCTGGTATCTCCGGTCCAGAGATGATACACAGAGTGAATTATATGCATGAGCACAAACCACAAAACATATGATTTCTGCACAGAATTGTATTTTAAAGCGATATGGAGGAGGAGGAAACTGCGGCTTTGTCGAGCTCAACGGCTCGGCCGAGCTGTGATGTAAATAAAATGTTATTGGCTATTTAAAAAAAGGGGAGGAGTTGATCGATATGTCCCGCCCTATTTCCCTGTTTCAGTGGAAAATATCATCATATAGAATAATAATGAGCGTGTCAAGGCACTGTAGCCTATATCCTCACTGTAAAAGCATAAGGGAAAAATTAATGGAGGTTTGTGCAGTTTTATTTAATCGGAATACAGATGGTTAGTTGACTTTACCAGTTTCAACAAACCTAACAATTCAATGTGGTTTATAAAACACAAGAATTACAGTTTTAATTTCATAATTGTATTCAAGAATTTATTTACAAACTTCATGGAATGTTCTGCTGAAATATGTTTTATCAAAAGAGTAGAGATGACTTTTTATTTATTTATTTTTCTCAACAGGTGTTTGCCGAATTTGACAGGATATTTTGACGCTATAGAACTTTCCAAAGATTGTCTGGAGTTTTCTGAGAAGTTTCGTTTCATTATCCACACCATCCTGGATCTGAAACGTAAAGATCTCTTCACATCATTTAGCTTATACAGGTAGGCCTATGCCTGCATAATTTCATTTTTGTATGTAGCCTACACTGTTGATTTTAACTTAAACGCATCACAATAAAACGCGCGTATATAATAATAATATTAAATTAGCATATTGCCATTAAATCGCTTTTTGGACAACTCCGTGTAGGCTATCTCAAATTAAAGCGCGTGTTTGTGCGCTTTAAAGGAGATTTTCCTGCACATTATTCGCGGTTTGTATTTAAACTCCTCTTAAATTTCACCGGCTCGATTAAATATTCATTCTGGAAAATTCCTCTATTCGGCATAAACGAACGAGCCACCAGCAGCCCAAACAAACAAACCAACCTCGCTCGGTGCATTAGCCTAAAACATGCAACAGAAGAAGAATTTAGATATTAAAAATAATAATTGCACTATATTTCCACAGGGTCAGACACGGAGTTCATACAGCATGGCCGTGTATATTCCAGGTGAGTGAGATATGGAGTGTGTAGACTAGCCTATAAACAAATACGAACATAACAGCTACATCCCTTGTGAGCGCATGAACATTACAGAAGCAGATAAACAGTTCGAATGGTCTGAGAGCTTATTAGGTCACAATCATATAGCCATATATGATCATAACATGTGATTAAACGAGTTAAACCAGAGGGAAAAAACGTCGTCACGTCGTTCGTGCAGTTTTAGAAACAGTGTGCGACGCAAAGACAGACGGAGAGGAAAAACATTTTCCCGAATGCTCTGTTCATACTTCCGTTCGACGTCATGATTTAATTGTGACGTAATGGCTGAATCAGCCGCGAACATAAATAACCCACGTTATGTTACTATCTTTACAGGGAATGCTAATGCGAGCTGTTAAAATGCTTAGAGTGCATAGAATACATTTTAAATGTGTTATATGTTGAGTAGTCTACTATTAGCCTAGCTATTTGGAAGGAAAGATAACACAGGCAACCAGTTCATAGCCTACATTAAAAAAAAAGATTAACCATGATGAAATAATAAAATTAAACTAACATAAATTAATAAATACAAGCTTACAGTTTTGTTTAACGAGTCATTTTCATGTAAGCTTTTTTAAATCATCCAGACAAAATTTTAACATGTGAATTTGTTTGTCTTGAATTTTGTCAAGAAAAGCATGTAAACATCGTTTTTAAACAGAAATTAGGCAGATCTGACAAATCTGAAATCCAATAACGTTTTTAAAACGTTTTTCCAATTTAAGTGAAACGAAAAATATAGGCCAATAAAAACATCTGAAATGTAAAAATTGGCAAAAGAAAAAACTGCTCTTCCTCCTGTCTCAAGTCGTTTTGCCTGTGACAAAAAGCCCCAAAATCACGATAAAGACGAATATTTTACACTGAGACTGGACTGTGACAATTACCTTCAGGAAAATCGATTTAATTTAAGATCTCTTATTTTAACCGACCCCTAAAACTCATGTGCGTCTTTAAATGTATGTCTGTTTTTAGAGCTAATATTCTAAAATTCTGATATCGTGTAGCCTATGTTTTGAAGAAGTCCTTACCTTCTAATGAAAGCACATTGTATTGCTCTTAAGAACAATGATGTAGCGGCAGCCTTCACGTGTAAAACTGAGAATGAAGCATTTCAATTCTCCCCCATGTACTGGATATTTACCTCTGATTAGTTTTGAATCGGTTTCATGGCTTCTAAAACTGTCGGGTTTGTGTTGGCTTCGGTAGATAATTTCGGAGAAATGGAGGAATTGAACGAATGCAACCAAAAGAAAAGAGCCGAATAAACTCTTGTGAACTCTATTGACAAGTATGCGTTCGCTCGGGGGTTCGGCTGGTGGGGGTGGGTGAACGGGTGAACGGGTGAACGGGTGAGGTGCAGGGATGGCGGATCACAACTGCTCAATACATACAAACAGCCCAAGAAACCCTCCAGTTTGTTTGCTTTAAGCACAAATCACCTCTGGAAAGCTTATGTTGTCAGATTACGAATGGGTTAATCTTGTCTGCTGCAATGTTACAAAAAAAAAAAAAAAGAAATTTAATTGACTTTAATTAAAGTAAATAAAACAAGTATTTTCACATTCTGTTGGGAAGTGAATCAGACCAGAGAAAACACTCAAGACCCAATGAGTGCTTTCAGGGTGCTTTTGTTCAGTAGCCTATGTGTTTTCTTTTAAATGTTGTGCATTTGAATAAAAATGTCAATTGGTAAACCATTTTGCATTTCAATAGCACCATTTGCATAGTCTTGATAATAATTTCACATGTCCCTGATTTAATTTCTTTGGTGGTTGATTATGAGTTTGAATTAGAATAGCCTAATCAGAAAAGTTGGTTTGCTCTAAAAAGAAACTCAAAAGTGAAACTTTAAAAGTATGAACTAGGCTATAGCCTAGACTTAGGATTTAAACAATCCACACTTGTGGAAATTAAGGTTCCTTAGAAGAACTTATAGAACTTATAAGAACCCTTTTGGGTTCCACAAAGAATAGTTCAGTGATCACATTCTTAAAATAAAAAATAAAAAAATTCTTGTGAAAACCGTTTGAAACATCTAACCTTTTTCCATTAAACGTAACTTTTTTGGAATGTAAAGATTCCATGGATGTTAAATATTCTTTATGGAATCATCAATGCCAATAAAGAGTTATAACTGAACAGTTGAAATTTAAATTGAGCATTGCTTTAGTAGGCTATTACCGTTTTATTTAGCGTTTAAATATATTTTGAATTACACGTGTCATTGATTTAAAAAGAGCTTAAAATTAAACCAGCGCGTTCATAACTGTAGATTTTAGGGATAACATTTTAAATTGATGTTATTCTCTCAAGCATTTAACTCAACAGGTCAAAATCAATAATCTGTTAGCCTACATTAAATATTCACCAGAACTAAACCTGCGTTTGATTTCTATGCCTCGCTGGTGCTTCTGCTTTATTTAAACTCTAAAATCAAATCGTATTTTATTTTAAACCGCAAATCAATCTCTGATCAGTGCCGTTGCTTTATATTATTCTCACAGTCATGCGTTTCCGATAAACGATCATCTAAGTAGGCTATCTAAGATTTATCTAGCTATATGTGGCGGAGAACCTATTCGGTGGTTTAACGGGATCAAACGGGGACATGTAGGGTGTGTCCGTGACCTCGTGGGACGTGTTTCCCGGCACTCGCGGGGCTGTTTTATGAATGGTGGATGGGAAACCCTCCTGCAGGAAATGAGAAACTCCATAACATCTGACACCGGTGACCAGATCCGTGACCTGCGCCGTAATGGCACGACCACCATCCATCCTTTCTCCACACACACACACACACACACACACACACACACACACACACACACACACACACACACACACACACACACACACACACACACACACACACACACACACTGCTGCAGGGGGTGGGGGGATTGGGGGCAGGGGTGAATTCCGAAGGGTGGTCGGCAGAGATGGGTGGGGGTGGGGGTGAATTGGGCGGGGCACAGAAGCGGTGGGGGTAGATGTTGATTCACTCCTCCAACGTGTTTTTCCTCTGACTCAAAAGACAGAAAAACATCCTCAGCCAAGCTATCAGGTTTGACCACGAGTTTGCCAGAAACATTTACTGAGCGAATATGTTATAAAAACGAAAACACTCCGTTTTTATTTCAGCACTCAGTTTGAACTTATTTCCCATTAATTCTTCCATTTCCACTTGTTGGTTTGGTGCACATTTCGCTCCCTTTTTTTTTTTTGTGAACTGACAGATACAACTCAAATAAGCACAGCAACAGAAAGGATCTATAAGATTATATTTTACCCCTTGCATATTTTAATTTTCAAAATTTCATTTTGAATTCATACCCATAAATGTGTATTAGCAGAACAATTCATAAACTGCAATAAACACAGCGATGCTTATTGTTTTGGATCAATGATGCCTTTTCAATAAACAGTTAATGCAGCTTTTGTAGGCTATAGGCTACTGATGTAGTCTACATACCTTTTTATGACTTTATGTTTATGTCTAGATGTTTATTGTTGTAATTTATCCACTTGTAAGCTATAGGCCTATTTGTACGTGCAAAGCTCACGTAAACCAGAAACAAATCCTGTGTGTGTGTGTGTGTGTGAGAAAGAGAGCACTTGGTCAATAAAGCTCTTCTTATTGTGATTCAGTCTCATTGACGTTTGTACTGCAGCAAAACAACAAATTCAAACTGCAATGCGTTTCCACAAACGACAATTAGCGATAAATCATTTCTCCCAAATATAATGACCAAAGCAGAAATACATCAGCAGCAGCAGAAGAAAAATAAAGTCTCCTTTTTATGCGAATTTTAAAGGACATAATGCATGTAGAACAAACGTTTTCGTCTTATTAGGTTATTACATAAAGTTAAAAATGTATGTAGCCTAATAAATTACAACAACATAATACAATACGTGGATTATTAGACATGATTAATGAAATAGTAAACCCCTTGAAAAAGATACATTCTGGAAAACTGTTTGCATTTCCTACACCATGCCAGAACATAAAACATAAAGGGTTATAGGCCTAAGTAGCCTATTTTTCATAAGACTATAAATATAATGCCTGTCACCAGCGTTTGGAATTTGGTTACATAACGCATCGTTACAATTGTTAAATGGAAGAGGAAAAAAAAACTCCCCAAATACTGGACTTTTTATGGCCCCTCCAATGACTTTCAGAACATGCAAAAATAAAGATTTTAGACGTCTTAACACGCGTTAAAAAGCTGAACCTGTTCAAACGGATGCATTTACGTGACGCAGCAGTAGAGCTGAAGTCCAGCCCGGTTCCGAGTCCGCTCCCTCTCCCGGGCTCACGGAGGAGTCACGTGTGCAGCGCTGCGAGCGAGCGAATGAGACACGGAGAGCGGGAGAGAGAGAGAGAGCTGTGCGAGGGAGGGAGAGAGAGAGAGAGAGAGAGAGAGAGGATAGGAGATGTTAAAAGAGACATGACAAAATATCCAAAAAGGAGACGCACGCCGTATCATGCGCGCTAAATTTGTGCCCGCTGGAAATCGGGATGTCGGATCGACGGTGACGCGCATCACCCCATTTCACGGAGGAAACGATTTCGCTGGAACTTTGGAACGGAGGGTCCGCGGGGAAACATGGCCGAAGGTTACGATGCTTTTTGCTTTTTTAATTATTTCTTTTTACGTTCAGATGGGAACTCGTATTATTCCACGCGCACCGCCGCGCTTTGTTTACGTTGTTTGTACGCGTGATGAAAAGCCGTTTGCGCCCGTGGTGGGGGGGGGGGGGGGGCGGGGGGGTTAACGTGTGCACACCTGCCCCACGCCAGGCGGTTCACATGCATTAGATGCACGACTACAAGAAGTTACTTAGAAGCTAAAGCTACTAACCAGGCACACTGAGCATTCGCAATGCACTACGCCATCCCATCTCTACTTTTCATTGACTTTTTCCAGTTTTCCAGAGGGTGGTTGTAGACTAGTTAACGAAATACACAAGGTTGGGGGTTGGGGCGGGGGGGATTTAAGAGACAGAATTTAAGAGTCTGTCAATGAAAACCTCATATATTGATTGACAGAAGAGAGAAGGGCGTCTGTGATTACGGCCCTGGTCGTAGACCATTGAGGCACATCGGTGCGTCGAAAAAGCGTGTTGTTGTGTAGTAGGCTATAGTTGGGGATTTCCCTCAGAAACGCTGCCCACGCAGACCATGGTCGATGTGTACAACGAGAACAAAGTATAGGCTTGATCTCATTAACGTACACGGGCATCACTATGGGCTTTTCTTCCTTGACCGCACAGGAGGGCCGCGCAGAGGTGGCGGTGGCGGGTCGGACACCACCAGGACTCCGCCGCAGATTCTGGCTGGCTCGGGTTACTGCAAGTGGTTTAATGTCCGCATGGGCTTTGGATTTATATCGATGACCAGCAGCGAGGGGAAGCCAGTGGACCCTCCACTGGACGTGTTCGTTCACCAAGTAAGTCCATGCTACATATTGGTTTGACTCGTTCTTCTGACTCTCTTTTTTCACGTTATCTGTCGCAACTCATTGACATCAGCAAATGTGTTCGAGGAAAGCAGAAATAAAACACACGCTTGCGTTTTCATCTCCTGTCACTTTAAGAGCTGCACTACTCTCACGCCACAAACACATCTTTTTACTCTGGATCACCTCCATTGATATAATCACAGTAGTAAACACTGAGGAATTTATGATGCACGTCTTAAAGGAACCTTAAGATCTCATTAGGAAGAGATAGGCTATATGCACACGCACAACATTCGCCTCATGCTCACAGGAACATGTCTGAAAACCCTGCCAACATGTCGGGAAATCTGTCACATGTAGCACACGACGATCAGACCGCTTTCACAATCAGTCTTTTGGAGAATGGCAGGCTATCTCGGTGTGGTGGACTGTTGTACTGAACATCATGTGCTCTCGTGTTTACATGGGTGTAGTTCAGCCCCCTTTACACAACATTTCGTCCTCTTCTCATGGACATTCAGAGCTAAATCGATACGGACATATGTACTAAACCGGAACTTATCTCCTTTCATCATTTTCCAAGCTTTCCAAAGCACCTCAAAACAGCATATGCAGATTATGAGAACAAAAGCAGAGGGAACAAGAGGTTCCTTCCGAATTCACTGCACTGTTGTTCTGCTGTCCGTTTTGCTGAATTATGCTGCTTTCTTATTATCTGTCGCTGCTGATAATATTGTCGAACAGTGTTATTATGTATACTGCTGGATCGTTAATGATATGTTAAAAGGATTCATGCGACTGAACATTTGCATTGTTACAAAACACTTCTGCATAATCCTTTAAAATCTGAAATTCAATAACATAACAGTGTGCATAAAGATACATCTGCTATTTTTATTTGAAGAAATTAAGTTCTTTTAATGAAGTACTTTGTAATCTTTTATTATGTGTTTAACTGAATTACAATTGCTGAACCACTTTGAAGTAAAATATATTTTGCTTTCTGGATTCATATTGTGATTAGTGGACACATTGTTGAATTATATTGTTGCATAGCCATAGACTTCGTTATACTCATATTCTTCTCATATTCAAAAAATGTTGTGGGCGGAGTTCGGGCTGGCATCCAGGCTAATTGTTGCATGTATGTAGAAAACTCTCTTTGAAAAAAGGGTTCACATATGAAGAATAGGGTTCTTTACTCAACTCCAAAGAACCTTTTATGCTAAAAAGGTTCTATAATGACAAAAAAAGAACACTTTTGGCACAAAGGTTCTTTATAGGCTATTATTCATTCATATTTCTGCAATATTTTGTAGTTTGTAGTAAATTATTGTTTATTAAACTGTTGTAACTTAATATCACATTTTAATCATGCTGATTTTTGGAGGAGAAAAACTGAAATGGCACTTTTCTTGTGATATTGATTAACTACGTAAAATGATATAAATATATACATTTTCTAACCCCCATATCTTGAATTTTGTGATCATTCACATGCATTCATAAATACATCTTTTTAGGGACTTGATGTTTTGTCAATAATATAAAATATTTAATCTGGAAAGGACAAAACAAATGATAATGAATGAACCCAAAAGGTTCCATATAGACCCTTTTCCTGGTTACAAAGAACCCTAAAGGGTTCTTATTATTAAAGGTTCTGTATAGAACCTTTTAGGGGTTCCAAATACGTAGCGTTTATAGAACCTTTTATGGTCTATATAGAACCCTTTCTTCTAAGAGTGATGCTTTGGGTAAATTTGCGGAACTCAATAACAGAAAGATTTATCTTGCTACATACATATGTACTAAATGATTTGAAATGGAGTTATTTACCATTTTTTAAGGTAAATTTAATTGATTTTAAATTCAAATTTGATCTGAAATCTTGTGGGGACATGATTTTTTTTTTGAGCATGAGCTAAAACATGAACCTCTTGTGCTAGTAGCCACTTAACCTGAGTGCATTCTGGGAAATGCAGTTCTCAAAAAAGACAAACATTAACCAGGGACATGGTCCGAATGTTGTGCTGTCGAGCGTAAGATAAGTATATACAGGGCAAATTATAAATAAGCTGGTTGAAATCAAAGAAATATCAATGTCTGAGTTGACATGCACAATAAAATGCAAGAGTTACTAACTATTAACTATATTTTTGTATGTGAAATCTTTGCTGAAACACTAGGAACATTTCCTGCCTTGTATTCATTCGAGTTGTTATTGCAAGAACGTTTTGTACCCCTGATAAAACAGTTCGTCTGATAAGCACGAAGTAAACAATTGTATTGAATGCATTTGTAAAACGAAGGCTGCTTTTTTCCTCACGGCCCAGGCGTGTGAAAGCGTATTGATTAAGAGCCGTGTCTGTCATCTGGAAGAGCTGTGTGCTTTTATTGCCTTTTTGTGACATTAGTGTGCTGTCAATCCTGTTTCTTACTGTGTCTGTGAAACCAGCAAACATGCAGTTCTAGAGCTCAGGGTGTGATATTATATGTTGATGTATACATAAAACAATTTGATGATGGCAAACATTTTCTTGGTGTCAGACTAATGGCACGAGCAGCTGTAATCCATAACGTCTCTGATAAAGATTTGCATTTGGCTGCTGTGCGGAGGATTGTTTGTGTTCTTTCTTTCTTTGTGTCTGAATGCTGCACGCACATGTGCGTTCATGCTACAGTGAAATTGAAAAAGCTGTGCTGGGTGTGTGTTGTTTAGGATGTATAGCCGTTGCACATTGTGTTTGTGATAAGAAGAGTGTGTACAGCTGATTATTCAATCTGTGTGTGTCTGTCTAACCTTGATATTCTGGACAGATGAGTGTTACAAACAAGCCAGAATTATGTGGATTAACATTACATTTATGCATTTGGCAGATGCTTTTATCCACATTTTTTCCTCATCAGTTCATACAACCCTGGGAATCGAACTTATGACCTACAGCACATGCTCGGAAACTTAATTTTTTTTCCTTTAAGTGAGATTTTCATACAATTAATTGAGAAATTCATTTGTTTTCTTTGTATTTTGTATACTTATCTCTTGTTCATTAAACTGAGCTACGATTTAAGATTTTAATAATAAGGTTGTGATAGTATATGGAAATGAATGAACTGATAGGCTGATTTTTTAAAAATATGTGAAGAGTTCAGATGCAAAAACCTCTAAGTGCCATTTGAATCAAGCTTGTATATTTAAGTTCAGTAATTTCACTTAAATGGCAATGAAGATTACCTATTAATTGTCATTTAAGTGAAATTACTGAACTTAAATACACAAGCTTGATAAAAATGGTCATTCTTGACTAACTCTTCATGTAAAGAGCATAGCATAATTGTATTAGTATTCAGCTGATTTAAATATTTTATTAAATCACATTTTTCTTATTTTAAAAAATATTATTATAGTTTCTCCTAGACTTTTGGCTTTTCTTTTTATGACAGCTAAAATAATTAGTATCATATGAAGGAAGTCATATTCATTATCTGAGGAATTCACTGTAAAAAAAAGATTTTTTGGAAGTTGTAAATAAAACAGATTACTGGAGTGTTTTACAACGAAATACTATTTCTAAATAAATGAATTTAATAGTGAGAATTGGACCATAAACTAAAGTGTGACCACTCTTTTTAAAAACTATTTCTAGTACTTCAAAATTGCATGTTTAATTTAGTGTTACTTGCCAATACTTTTAAATTTAATAGCAATTTTTTTGTGAAAATAGTTTATACACCAATTTTTGTTTTCAGTGTATTATGTTAATATCATTATTTTTCAATTGCAACACTTTGACTTCTTGTATTGAATCTGATACGGCATTTAAAAAAATATATGAATTATTGACTTTTACTTGTGGCACATATACATGTTTCTTATAACAAAAGATGGCAGGTAGATTTGTAGTAATGAAGGGAAACATTATAATAGCACCCAGTCTCTCTTAATTCAACAATTACATCAATACAGTACATCCTGTAGTCATTGACACACTGACACTCACACACACACACACCGTTTAAATCTACAAATCCATGAGCTTTTTGTGCCAATCCAGGACAGAAGTGAGAGTGTGAAACTGAGGAAAGACAACGCATGTCTGAGTGTGATTTTGTTTGTATGTGTAAAGAGGATTTCAGTGTGCATATATATGTGTGTGAGTGTGTGTGTGTGTGTGGTGGGGTTGGGGTCCTCTAACATTCTTTAAAAGAGGAATTTCGTTAAAGACAAAAAAGGGAAAGGAGGCGTGGCTTTGCCCGGCCCTCACACTCCGAATCAACGCACTGCAGTGTGTGTGTGTGTGTGTGTGTGTTTCATTAGGAGCTTTGTGTTTGATTTTTCCGAATGCTGCACCTCCTGCAGTGTTTGTGCGTGTGCATTGTGTGCTTGTGCCAGTCTTCCTGCATGATTGCATGTTGCTGTTTGTCGCGGTGTGTGATGTGATCATGTTAGTGTGTGCAATGATGGATTTATATGCTCATAGGTGGCTTCACTATACACTCTTAAAAATAAAGGTACTGGCATTAACGGCTCCATGAAGAACCTCTAACATTCGCGGAACCTTTCAATTGCACAAAAGATTCTTTAGAGTTTTAAAAATGGTTCTTTTTCACTGAAAGGTTCTTTAGGGAACCTAAAATGTTCCTTAATGACATCACTTTTGGAACCTTTATTTTTAAGAGTTGTTTGTGGGCATATTTATCTCTAGATAAATATAACGGATAAAAGCTCCCTTTAGGGATGTCCTTAACTGGAAAAATTATTTATATGTAAAATTAATGTATATTTATTTTTTAATTCTAAAAATGCTAAATGATTACTTTTAGGGTTAGGGTCTGTGGTATGTCCTTATTTACATAGCTAGTTAACTGTGTGTGTGTGAGTGTGTGTGTTGTAAGGTTACTCTGGGCCCCTAGTGAGATTAACCTCTCCTCCAGACTCCACCTCTCACTGTTGCAGAGGTCTGGCTCCTCCTTTAACATACATG